CACGCCCGGCATACCAGTCATGGAGCTGCTGAGAAGAGGGGGTCTGGCGCTGCTGCTGCTGCTGCGGCTGCTGCTGGCCCCCATTGGAGTTCCCCTTCTGGCCGGTCCCACTCCCGCCCCCACCCCCACCGCCACCACCACTGCCTCCTCCCCCACTACCGCCGCTGCCACCTCCACTCCCTATCCCACCGCCGCCCCACCCACCGCCTCCACCCCCACGGCCACCCCCACCACCTCCACCACCCCCGCCGCCTCCACCACCGCTCCCTCCACCGCCACCACCACCACCCTTACCACCCTTGCCGCCCCTGGTACCGCCGCGCTTCCCACTAGGAGCGGAAGCCGCTGCGACCTTCTCAGCACCGAGGAGGTCGACTGCAGTAGCAGCAGAGGCGTAGGAGGGGGCGAGAGTGGAGGGGGAGCACCCCTCGAAGAGGGGAGTGCGAGGAGTGCCACGAGCAGCACCTACAGCGAGAATGTTCTTTTCGGCTGCCAGCAGCTGCTGCTCGAAGTCGTCGAGAGTGATAGTGGTAGGGTCTTTGGCTAGGAAATGGTCCCTGACCGAACTCAGAGTGTCAGGGAGGCGGGTGATGAGGATGTAGAGGGTAAAGTACATCGGGGGGGTATTCTTGGCGAGGAACTCGTCTGTAAGAGCGGCACGAAAGCGGGCGTCACTAGCGCGGAGGTGAGAGATAAGGTCCTCAGCGGTGGCAAACGAGGACAGGTCGGGAAACAGGTAGGGCAGGATGAGACGTCCTACGGCTGCAGTGGCGGGGGAGGAATAGCACGCAACTACAGCGTCATACAGCGCCTTAGCAGTCTTGTGCTGACTAAAATGCGCGCGCTCAGTGATCGGCAGGTGGTTGCGAATAGCAAGGAGCGCAGCAGCATCGCGAGTCTGCCACTGTGAGCGGTCAAGAGCAGGAGCAGTGTCAGCAGGAGCAGTGGCAGTGCCAGACGCATGATCAAACAGTGAAACGCCGTCTTTGGCATCAGTCATGAGGAACAGTTGCAGGTCATCGAGCCACATGGCGAACTCGATCGGTCGACCGTCAGGCTCAAACGCGAGAACATTGAGTGTCGCCATAATAGCCGTGTTCGAGCAGGCTGGCAAGGCAGCGTTAGCGGCGCGCGGGGCAAGCAAACGTGCGCAGTAGGGAGGCACGCGCGGCAGGAAGGCTCGTAAGGCTCGTAAGGCAGGCAGGTTCTTAAGGCAGGCAGGCTCGTAAGGCTCAGAAGGCAGGCAGGTTCGTAAGGCAGGTAAGATCGTAAGGCAGGCAGGCAGGCTCGTAGGGCGGACGCTCGGCTCACGGGTGGCGAAGCGCGCAAGGCGAGGCGGCGGCGCACAGGCAGGGCAGGGCACCGCGGCGATGGGCGGCGCACGGGCAGGCACGCGCGGCGACGGGCTGCGCAGGGCTGGCAGGGCGCGGCGCGAGCTGCGGGGGCGGTGCGTGGGCTGCGCGCGGGCTACGCGAGCTCGGCGCGGGCTGCGCGCGGGCTGCGCGGGCTCGGCGCGGGCTGCGCGAGCGGTGCGCAGGGCAGCTGCGGGTCGCGCGCGGGCTACGCGGGCTCAGCGCGGGCTGCGGGCGCGACGCGCGGTGCCGCAGCGGGCCGCGTGCAGGCTGCAGCAGCAGCGCGTGCTAAAAAAAAAAAAAGATTCGCGCGCGTGCAGCCGAGGCGCGAGCGGGCAGCAGGCAAGGCCGACAGGCAGGCAAGGCAGGTAAGGCCGTAAGTGGGGTAACGCGGTAACCGGTGGGCCCGAATCTTAGGTCCTAAGGACCTACTGCTCTAGATACCATCTCAAGAACTTAGGCACGGAAAAGTGGTTGGACTATCGAGTGAATTGGTACAAGAGGAAAACCCTAAGGGGTTATACCCCACAATGTCTACCCCACTACAGCCTACCCACAAATATAACATATGCATATGTTTGACAGTTTTCGGGGCTCTGCATGTAGCAGGCAGCTCTGGCAAGCCGCCCTGATGCGTGTTTCAGCTGCAGTCACTAGTCATGTCGTACCAAACAGCCCTCCTCGTCCATGCGCTCCTCGTCCATGCCCTCCTCAAACCTGCTCCCAGCGGCCTCCCTGGGTCACCCACCTGCCGCACCGCACAGCCCAGGTGCGTGACAGCCCAGCTACCCAGTGGCTTGGGCAGTGCTTTCGAACCGCCTCTTGAGCTGCAGAGCCTTTTCAAACAACCCCTCATCCATGCCCTCCACACACCGCCCCAGCTGCGCTAGTAGCACCTGCAGGGGGAGCAGGAGGCAGAGGAGGAAGGTGAAGGTGGTCCAAGACGCCTCAACACCCACACAAAGGAATCAGGGGAGGCAACTGGAGTGCATAGGTGTTTTAAGGTGCAGAAAAGGCAGGTAAGAAGTTGGTGGTCCTGGTGGGGGCACAGTAGGAGGCAGGACAGGGGAAGAGAGTGGTTGGTGAAGGGGAGGGAAGGACAGGGGTGTGGCATCCAGAGTGCAGCATCTGATTGAGACGATTATCGACTACAGCTCCTCCATCACTCTCCTCTTAACTCTTCTTTTCCCCAAAGTCTGCTAACCGTCCTCTGTTCCCCTGCACCACCTCACCAGCTTGTCTTCCTCTGCCGCGCCTTATCGACCTTCCCCAAAAACTAGAACAGGCTGTTAGGCCGCATGCCATGTGTAACTATGCGGGATGTGTCTACAACGAGCAGAGCTTTGGACTTATTTTCTATCGTGATGAGCATGTCGGCACCTCCTGCTATTGGTCGGATCCTGAAAGGTGAGGAAGGCGGGTATCAAGGGTTGAAAAACTCGCAATTCAGTTACATTTTTTATTCGTGATATCTTTGCAACGGTGAACGAGGATTTTCAACTGTACCTGCCTGTGACCCTAAAAAAGCATCCCCGCTATGGATTGCCCCGCTGCAACCATGATGATCCGCGCATGGCAAGTCGTCCATTGCACTCGCCCTGCGGTTCTCGAAAAAACGGGTTGGGAAGGAAAAAGGATGCTTCATGTGCGGCATGCGGGTGTTTTGAAAGGACAGGGAGGGGAAGTGGAAAATGTGGAGTGTAGCCATTAGAAAAAAGCGTTACGATCTTGCAGTTTAGAGGTGAGTGGGTCTAGGCTGATGAACTCGAGAGAAGCCTCGCACACATCTTCTGCTGCGGTCTGGCGGTCGCGACTTCAGTAATAGTCGCGCCCACAGCGACGCGTTGTTCGGGGGCTGCGGGGCGACGGCTGCGGGGAGAGAGGGAGGGTGGGACCGGGGGAGAGGGAGGGTGGGAGCGGGGGAGAGGAGAGAAGGGTGGGGGAAGGGGGAGTGGGAGTGCAGGAAGGGGGGTGAATGGGAGGTGACGTGTGACCATTGGGGAACGGACGCGGTTCAATGAGAATGCCGGCTCCACTGTTCCTCGTTCCTGCTCGCTGCTGCTGTCTGGATAGGCGGTGATCGGCGCGGAATCAAAAAGGCCGCCGCCTGCCCTGTTCCCCTAATACCATGACGGCTGGCTTACCCCTGAGACGCCATCGCGGCCGTCCGTCGAGGCCGCCATCGCGAATCTACGGCGCCTCAACCACCTGCCGCCTTTCGCTTTCGACGATCCACAGTTCAAATCACTAACTATCCAATCCCTGACGCCGCCTAAGCCGGGCTTCCGAGTCGCGCTACCGAGTCGCGGTTGCGATCGTCACGGCCGCTGATCGATCAGTCGCCCGGCGGATGCGACCACGACTCGTTAAACTGCTGACTTTCTAGAACAGCGATAGCAGTGCAAAACTCGCCAAAACAAACCTCTCCTGTCATAGTCTGAAGAGTGAAGCACAAGAATTTACAAACGAGTGCATTTCGGTGCACCATACATTTGCAGCTCATTTCCGTGGCTCACGACGGTTCCATGCGGTTATCAATTTGCACCGAAACGAAGCAGATTAAACCGCACAGCAACGAGCAAGATGTCATGCCACACACGACCATCGCAAAGCATATCGTGCTGTCATCGACGATCTGATTGGTTCCTACGAGCCCTGGTGGGCGCAAACCCACCAGGTGCCCCTCCTGGTGGATTGCGTTTCCACCAGGACGCGGAGCCGGCGGAAGCTGTCTGCCCGGGGGCAAAAAAAATAAACCCCAAGGCGACCGGCATGCCTTCGGGAGCCTCAACCCTAAGATTTTAGGGTTGAGGCTCCCGAACCGCATGCCGGTCGCGTTGGGTTTTAGTTTTTTTTGGCCCGCGGGCAGATCGCTTCCGCGAGCACGCGGAGGCGACCCCGCGTTCGCCCGTGTTTTTCCGACAGGGCTCGTATGAACCTCTGAGGTCATCCATCTTCCCCTTCGTCACGCCCACTCTCCCTTCGCCCCATCCCTACTCGCCTCGCCATTGCCAGTACACGTACCACCCATTCACGCCACTCACCCCGCGTGTCGTTCGAGCCTGCGGTATTTTAGACAGCCGCGGCCGTCGCAGTGGCCACTGTCTCCCGACATCCACGTGGCGATCCACGGCCTGCCAGCACCGAATCTGCCTTCTGCTTTACTTGCCGCGGCCCGTGCGTAGAGAATTCACGAGGACCATGGCATCTCTTGCGCTCCTCCTCCTCCTCCCGCTCCTCCTCTCATCGCACCTTCCCCTCCGCGTGTCGGCGCAAGGGCTCGTGTTGGTCCCCCCTCCCCCCGACGACAGCGCGCCGATCGCAGCCCCGCCCGCCTCGAGGCCGCAACCCGCTGATTCGTCCCCGTCGCCGCATCGCGAGTCCCCGCGCAGCTCGGCTGACGTGGATGAGGTCTACCCTGACGTGTCCTCTCTGTCCATTGGCCTGGCAAACAGCACGATCCCGTCGCTGGAGCATGCTGACGTGGAAGTGGTGGGGGGGAGTGGGCGGGGAGGGGGAGGCGGAGAGGGGGAGGAAGGTGCGGAGAGGGGCTTTGCGAGCATGGATGCGATGCTGCAGTGGGCCATAGGTATGCACGGTGTATGCTGGCTATTGGTGGTGCAAGCAGCTGGTTGTGGGTCCACTGGTATGAACCGTGTTGCCAGCATGAGTACGACCGCACTCATGCTGGACATCACGCCTGCGTGCCTGTCACCACGTGCCATAAGTGCCCCTCCTAGTCTCTGCACCACCCCTGCTGCCATGTCGTGCTATGCGTGTCCGTCGGTGTGTGAGCAGAGCGGTCGGACCCGGAGGCGTTGAAGCGGGCGGCCAGGGAGGTGGCGGACCTCACGCCCGAGGAGCTGGAGGCCAAGAGAAAACACATCCGCGTGAGTGCTGCCTCGCCTCGCCTCGCCTCGCCTCGCTTGTGCTCTGTCTCTGCTCTTCTGCATCCCATGTTCCATCCCCCAATGCCATCCTCCGTGCATCATCCCACCACACCCCCCCCTCCCCCTCCCCCGCCTTCGCCCCCCCCCCCCCCCCGTGCAGGACGTGGTGGACGCCATGCGCATGCCGTCCCCTGGCGACCTCATGCGCGCCGCCATCGCCCACATCGCCCCCGCTGCTGCTGCCGCTGCCAATGATGGGGGGGCGCCAGGGGAGCAGGGGGGAGGGGAGGAGGCGGGAGGAGGGGAGGAGGAGCATGAGCGCGTGGTGGGGGCGCTGCAGGAGCTGGCGCAGCTGGTGGAGCCCGTGCATGCCGCCAATGGTGCGCTGCTGCCCTGCCACAACACACATCTACGGGCTCATCTAGTCCCCTCGTCCATTCTCTGTGCTGCTGTCCATTCTCTCCGCTGCTGTCCATCTCTGCACCTCTCCCCCCATTCTATTCGTCCTTCGCACTCCCACCTCTCCTCATCGCTCCTTCCACTTTCGGCTGATTGCACTTGCAACTTCTCTTCTTCCCTGCTTCATAGTTGTGGTTTATTGTGGGTTGGGTTATCTCAACAACTTGTGACTCTGTGTCTGCAACATCTCGACCAATGTGCTCGCCTCATAGCCCACCATGTGCTCGCCTCATAGCCCACCATGTGCTCGCCTCATAGCCCACCATGTGCTCGCCTCATAGCCCACCATGTGCTCGCCTCATAGCCCACCATGTGCTCGCCTCATAGCCCACCATGTGCTCGCCTCATAGCCCACCATGTGCTCGCCTCATAGCCCACCATGTGCTCGCCTCATAGCCCACCATGTGCTCGCCTCATAGCCCACCATGTGCTCGCCTCATAGCCCACCATGTGCTCGCCTCATAGCCCACCATGTGCTCGCCTCATAGCCCACCATGTGCTCGCCTCATAGCCCACCATGTGCTCGCCTCATAGCCCACCATGTGCTCGCCTCATAGCCCACCATGTGCTCGCCTCATAGCCCACCATGTGCTCGCCTCATAGCCCACCATGTGCTCGCCTCATAGCCCACCATGTGCTCGCCTCATAGCCCACCATGTGCTCGCCTCATAGCCCACCATGTGCTCGCCTCATAGCCCACCATGTGCTCGCCTCATAGCCCACCATGTGCTCGCCTCATAGCCCACCATGTGCTCGCCTCATAGCCCACCATGTGCGGCCTGGACGTGCTGTGCATGCATGTGTGCGTGGCGTGGCAGATCTGCACAAGCTGGGCGGGCTGGCACCAATGGGGGCGCTGCTGGAGCATGGGAGCAGCGAGGTGCGCGGCATGGCGGCACTCGTGGTGGGCAAGGCGGCGCAGAACAACCGCCAAGTGCAGCGCCAGGTGCGCAACTCTGCATTCCCCTCCCACCCCTCCGTTACACCCTCCTTGCCCGTGCTCCTTCAACATGCACACCCATCCCTTTTGTCCCTTCCCCCCACCCACCCAACCCACAACCCGTTCTTCCCACCGTCATGCGTGCGCCAGGTGTTGGACACGGGTGTACTCCAAGCACTCTTCATGCGCCTGCACGCACCGCAGCCCACCCCCCCAGTGGGCGAGGAGGAGCACGCCAGGCTGCTCTTCGCCCTCTCTGCTGCCATCCGCGGCCACGTGGCAGCCACCCATTGGTTCTACCGCCAAGGTGGTGTGGGCCTGCTGGCCCGCCTGCTATCGCTACCATCCCCCCGCACGCAGCGCAGGGCGCTCTTCCTGCTCGCTGACCTCGCTGACAGTGTGGGCGCGCGGACAGGGGGCGAGGGGCAAGAGGACGAGAAGGAGGAGTTGAGGATGGCGGTAGGGTTGAAGGGTGAGGGGGACAGTGAGGAGGGTAATATGGGGGAGGAGCAAGGAGGGGAGGAGGCGCAAGGAGGGGAGGAGGCGCATGGAGGGGAGGAGGCGCATGGAGGGGAGGAGGCGCATGGAGGGGAGGAGGCGCAAGGAAGAAGAGAATGGTTGGCAGATGAGGCGCTGATGAGGGTGGTGGTGGGGCTGCTAGGGGGGAATGAGGGGGCGAGTGGGGAGGGGCAGGGGGCAGTGTGGAGTAGGAGTGAGGATGGCAGCAGCACGTGGGACCTGGACATGCTGGATAAGGTGGGTGGGTGGGTGGGTGGGGTGAGGGTGATGCAGGGTGCATGCATCAAGGGTACAGACATGGGCCATTATTTGTCATGCACATTGTTCTGTACGCTTGTGCATGTCTGCTTGCTTGAATGTCATGTCATTCTTCGTTCTGTCCACCTGCTCTCTACACTACTCCTCGTCCGCCCCCACCCCCCCAACCCCTCCGTGTGCAGGCGGCAGCAGCGCTGCACAGCCTGCTGGGCGCCTCTCTGGCCACGCGGCAAGTGCTGCTTGCATGCTGCAGCCCCGCGCTGGCAGTGGACCGCGTGAGGGCAGCGCTGCAGGCGCATGTGGGGGAGGTGCAGCGGGGAGGAGACGAGGCGGAGTATGAGCAGGAGGTGGCGGGGCGCCTGGCGTCGCTGCTGCTCGCCTTGCAGGCACCTGAGAGAGGGGTGGATGCTCGGTCCCACTAGGAGTGCAAGTGCTGGAGGGGAATGATTCTCCGTGTTATCTTGTGCATGTGTTGGTGCTCTATAGCGTTGCCAAGAATGGGAAATACACTGGCAGGAGCTATTATTTTCGCAAATAGCGAGAGGACTCCAAACAACACAAGCCAGTTGAAAAGGAAACACATTCACGGCATTCAAGCAGGGTAGAGCGAAGAGTGTCGTGCCACTCACGAGGCGCCTGATGGAGACCGTAGACCGGACATCTGAGCCTCCACTGGGTCCAAGGAGGACAAGTGCCAGTGAAGGCAGAGAAACGACGCAGCCACACCTCCTCGTGTAGGCTACCCTGAAGGAAGGCAGTGGAGAAGTCAAGAGAGTGTAACTCGTAGTCTCTCTGTGCTGCCACGTGAAGTAACACCCGAAGAGTGGTCATCTTCAGGGTAGGCGCGAAGGTCTGAAAGGATTCAATTCCCTCGCGCAGACTGAAACCTCTAGCCACATAACACTCCTTGAAGACCGGAGGAGATCCTGGTGGCCGCTTCACCTTGAAGATCCACATGCCATCAACGACTACTTTCGCCCCAAGAGGGGGAACCTCATCGACGTAGGTGCCTGTGGATCTGTTGGAGGTTATCTCTGCGTCCATGTCAGCTCTCCACTGAGAGGCCCAAGGCCCTGACATTGCCTCAGCGTAAGTGCGAGGAGTCGGTATGTCAAGGGCGTCAGGGTCTCCCTCAGGAGCGAGCAGCATGGCACAGAGATGGGGCGACGCGGCTGTCAGGAACTCTAGCTCAAACTACCTGTCCTCTAGGGCATCACAGCCAAGGGCAGACTCACCCTCGACGGCCAGAGGACGGATAGGAGGAGCAGCCACGACACGGATGGCGTAGTCAAGGCGGTGAGTATCGGAGAACTTAGTGACAGCGGCAGTAAGGGCGGAGACAGAGGATAGAGGGGCACGAGGGTCCGTAACAAGAGAGGCGAGAACACGAGAGAGAACAGGACGGTACGTGCGGTAGTAGTCAGTGACAGGAGTAGAGAGGGAAGTAGTAAGGGCTGACTCAGAGGGAGAAGGAAGCACAGACGGAGATGGACGAGGGGAGCTAGAACGAAACAAGACTGTGAGGATTGAGGATCGAGCTCAGAAAAGTGGGTTTGAATTGAATGATCCACCCGGGTACAAAACGAGGTTATGAATAGTCTCGACACAAGACAGGTAGCCAAGGTGTTACACGAATGTTCTGAGGGTCGCGAAGCGTCCCGAACAGAACCTTCCCGAACTCGGTAGAAAGCAATTCGGTGGCAACCGAAAAGGCTTGAGTTCGGTACACGTAACCTGGTTCGGTGCTATAACTATAATAACATATAGGAATGCACCTAACCTAGGAAATCAAGCATATCTATGCATGATAAATAAAACCTAAGCTAGAAATGGCATAATGTGTCAGAAATAACTGAGCAGGAATGAATGAACTAGAACAGAGTTTGGTACAAGTAGGAAACCCTAACTTTGTGTACCCCCTAAGGTGTAACCCACTACAGCCTAGACAATATAAACATGCAATGTTTGACACACCCCCATAGGCGCAGTGGGAGACAGCCACAGGGTCACAAGACCAGTCAAAGCAAAGCAAAACAAGCTCAGGGTGGATCTCAAGGATTCCACACAAATTCCGAGCACAAGCAAGCGGTCACAAGACCAGTTCACATGCAGGTTTATAACAAAGCAAGAGATACAGTGATCACAACCTAGCAAACGTAAACAAGTAGGCATATATATATAGTGATCACAGTACAAGCAAGGTCAAGAGGTAAGCAAGTGAGGCCCAGTAGGTACAAGGCCTAGCAGAGTGCAAAAGCGCTGATGGTCACAAGGCTGAAGCGCCTTGGTGAACACATCAGCAGTGTTGGCCTCCGTGGCCACGTAACGCAGACAAAGCTGACCACGCTGCTGCAGCTCTCGAGCCAGGAAGTACCGCAGAGCGATGTGCTTCGTTCTGTGCTCCAGTCTGTGCTCCTCACACAAGGCAATGGCAGCCTTGTTGTCGACGTACAGCACTGGAGGAGAACGAGGCCGCTCTCCGAGGTCGGTCAGCAGGTAGGTCAGCCAGCGTAGCTCCTGAGCGGCCATGGCTGTGGCGTAGATCTCAGCCTCACAACTGGAGCTGAGAACAGAAGAAGAGCGAGTAGAACGCCAAGAAACTGTGCCAGAGCCAAGGCTGAAGGTGTAACCCTGGGACGACCGCTGAGTAGCCTGGTCGTCTGCCCAAGAAGCGTCTGAGTGCCCTGTGAGAACAACCCGGTCTCGCCCTCCAAGCACAAGCCCCATGCCCGACGTACTGCACAAGTAGCGCAACACCCTCTTAGCAGCATCCATGTGCTCCTTCCGGTGACGGCCAGGAGCGACATAGCGTGCTAGGATGCTAAGAGGGTATGCAAGGTCAGGTCGAGTGCAGGTCATCAGGTACATGAGGCAGCCCACAAGCTCTGGATACGGGCCACTCGGCTCTACGGACTCATCCGAAGGCAGAGCTGAGAGCGAGTGACCGGTAGGCAGAGGAGTGGACTGAGGCGAGGAGTACGTGAAGCGGAAGCGCTGGAGAACCTGCTGCACCATGTGTGACTGAGTCAGGGTGATGGTGCGCCGTGCTCTGTCCCGGGTGATCCGCAAGCCAAGATAGCTCGTCAGCTCACCCAGGTCTGTGCACGTGTGTCTCCTCTGCAGCTCCGACTTCACGTGAGCGAGTGCCGCGGTGTCAGCAGTGGCAAAGACCAAGTCGTCGACGTACACGAGGATGTAGAACGGCGGCAGCGAGGTGTCGGTGCGTAGAAACAGCGACGGGTCAGCAGTAGAGGGAGCGAACCCAAGAGCCGCAAGTGTCGTCCTCAGTGTGTCGTGCCACTCACGTGGCGCCTGGCGGAGACCGTAGACCGGCCGCTGAAGCCTCCACTGGGTGCCAGGAGGAACTGACCCAGTGAAGCCAGGGGGGCGACGCAGCCAGATCTCCTCGTGCAGGCTGCCCTGCAAGAAAGCAGTGCTGAAGTCAAGAGAGTGAAGCTCGTAGTCGCGGTGAGCGGCTATGTGCAGCAGCACCCGAAGAGTAGTCATCTTCGGGGTGGGGGAGAAGGTCTGAAAGAAGTCTACTCCCTCTCGCTGACTGAAGCCTCGAGCCACGTAGCGCGCCTTGAAAACAGGCGGAGAACCCGGCGGCCGCTTCACCCTGAAAATCCACATGCCACTGACAATGTTCGCCCCAGGAGGGGGAACCTCGTCTACGTAGGTGCCTGTGGACTTCCAGGAGGCCATCTCTGCGTCCATGGCTGTCTGCCACTGAGAGGAGTAGGGACCCGCCATCGCCTCAGCGTAAGAGCGTGGGGTCGGGATGTCTGGTGCATCCGGGTCTCCCTCAGGGGCAACTAGCAAGGACACGAGACGGGGCAAAGTAGCAGCAAGGCAGTGGAACTCCTCCTGTCTGTCCTCAAGGACGTCCGTGCCGAGGGCACACTCACCCCCGACGGACGGAGGACAGGCAGACGCAGACTCAGACCTAGCGACAAGGCTGGCAGCGTAGTCTAGGCGACAGCGAGCAGCAAAGTCAACCAACTCAGCGACCAGGGCAGACGCAGCAGAGGACTCAAAGGTCGGGTCAGTGACAACTGTAGCGAGGAGACGCGTAACAGTGGGACTGGCAGCACGACGGGAGTCAGACTCCGGGTCAGGAAGAGTAGGAAGAGAGGACGCAGGAGGAGACGGCAGCGGGACACGCTGCGGAGCAGTGGAGGGACGTAGAGTCATGTAGTGAGTGCCAGGGACAGGAGGAGGACGCTCACGTGGGACACGACGACCAGTGCGAGCAGTACGAACAGGCGACGCAGGACGAGACTCAGGCTCACGACGCTCTGTAAGACCTCCTGTGGGACCAGCGTAAGGGGAGGGAGCAGGAAGAGGCGAGACAGGCGGTAACTGTGACTGCGGCTGGACAGGCGGAGGACACGCTACGGAGGGAGGAGGACTAAGAGGAGGAGCCTGACCAAGAACCTGCTGAAGGAGCGGTACGAAGTACGGTCGCGGCCGCGCAGCGTCTCCAGAAACAGCAGGGACACCAGTGGCAGCCCCAACGCCCGAGTCCTCAGCACCAGCAGCAGGGCCACTGGTCAGGTCCTCAGCACCAGCAGCAGCGCCACCGGTCGGGTCCTCAACACCAGCAGCAGCTCCAACGCCCGGGTCCTCAGCACCAGCAGCAGCTCCAGCCCCCGGGTCCTCAGCACCAGCAGCAGCTCCAGCGTCCGGGTCCTCAGCACCAGCAACAGCACCACCGCTCGGGTCCGCAGCACCAGGAGCACCACTACGAAGACTGCAGCGCCGCGTGTACCACTCGTGGATCACCTGAATGGGGGGGAGCTCCTGGGTAGGAGGGGAAGTACCGGGACGAGCTCCAGAAGCACCTCTCCGGAGGCGGCAGTACTCGAGGTACCTCTCCTGCAGCTGCTGGGAGGAGAGGGCTCCTCCAGGTGGAGTACCCCCAGACTCAGCACCCCCAGACTCAGCACCCCCAGACTCAGCACCCCAAGACTCAGCACGTCCAGACTCAGCACCCCCAGACTCCGCACCTCCAGGCTCCGCACCTCCAGGCTCAGCACCCCCAGGCTCTGCACCCCCAGGCTCAGCACCCCCAGGCTCCGCACCTCCAGGCTCAGCACCCCCAGACGCAGGACGCGAGTCAACAGCTACCTCGACAGGCTCACCCGGGTCTACCTGGGACACACCTGAGGGAGCGGCACCCTGAGGGGGGAGGGGGTCTGGTACCTCAGCACCTGGAGCGAGGAAGAGAGGCGGGGGGGGGAGTGGGGCAGTGCGGTAGGGGAAGAGGCGGTAGAAGGGGACGGACTCGTCAAAAGTGACGTCCTGAGAGGCCAGAACCCGGCGCGAGGTGACGTGGTAAAACTGCCATCCAGGCGCGTCGGGAACAAAGCCAAGAAAGACACAGGGAACAGTGCGACGTGAGAGCTTGTCCGCAGACGTG